CTGGCCGAAGAGTTTTAACAGGTGAGATTCCTACCCATTGGCTTCTACTGAAGTTTTGGTTTCTAATTTGCTTTACACATTTCTGGATGACTGCTTTAGTTTTGAACCAGAAGGGCCATGAGAGAATTGGCTGAGTCAACACAAGCATCCCGTATCTGAGCTCTGTGTACTCTGTGACTGTGCAATGGTGAGGATGCTCACAATAGTAGCAAGAGTTTGCTTTCACCATGTGCTTGTGCACCAAGCACTGACGAGGCATCAGCTACTTAATTCTCAAAAATTCAAGGTAGGCACTAATAGTGTTTTCATGTACAGTTCAGGCAAACTTGGTGACTCTTCACGGTTCTTCTCAACACCACAATGGCCATCATGGGGACTCAATGTGAGGGAATTAGATTGCTCAGTTGGGGTACCTGGCGATTTTCCTATGTTGAAATTATCCCTCCAGTTTAAGGGAAGATATAGAGATAATTAAATTTATGCAAGAGCTGAAGAGTCAAGGAGTGGCACAGAAAAATAGTCAGGCTTAAGTCTAACACTTAAACTAGCAGAACAGACAGAATAAAGCATCTTAGTCATCACACCCAAGGCACAGCTGGTTCTTCCAGGTTTGTGCACCTTTCTGATGCTCCGTGCCCTTCCCTTTTGGTATCTGCTGTATGTGTCTTGCAGTGTCCATGACCCTGCTGCCAGGCCACCAGCCTGTGACATAGTCCTCTGCTCTGTACAGCCACTGGGCCCCTTTGCTTCCTTTTCATTCATGTCTCACTTTCCTTATTTTCCTTTACTTTTTCTTGTATCTTACACTTCTGTCCCCCAACCCCTACCCTAGCTTGTTCTTTATTTAATTTTCCCTTTTAAACAATTCTTTGTTCTCACAATGCAACCATACTAGAAAGTAATGTAAAACAAATAAACAAGACATATAACCACAGATACTTTTTAGAACAAAATTTCTGTATATTTGCGCTCAAAGAAGAAATGAAAACAAAAAAATAAAGTTTAGAGAGAAATAAATGACACAGTTATGCTTGGTGACACATGACTGTGACTTTCACACTCAGGAAGCTAAGGAAGAAAGATTTTTTTTTTTGTATTTTTTTTGAGACAGGGTTTCTCTGGATTGCTTTGGAGGCTGTCCTAGAATTTGCTCTGTAAACTAGGCTGGCCTCAAATTCACAGAGATCGGCCTGCCTCTGCCTCCTGAGTGCTGGGATTAAAGGAGTGCACCACCAATGCCTGGCAGGAAGAAAGATGCTTAATTCAAGTATATTTGGGCTACTATATTTTGACACAGTAAGATCCTATGTCAAAAACCAAACCAAACAAGTGAAAGACAAGACAGCAAAAAGCCTGTTCCAGAAACCTGTAACATTCAACTACTGTCATATTCTGGATAAACTAAATAGCTTTTTAAAAAGTTATTAATTAACTAATTAATTTATTTTTATTTAAATAAATATTGGGTATGAATTGGGTATGAGTTTTTTTATCTGCATTATAGATGTGTGCCATGTGTGTATTATGCCTTCAGAGACCAGAAGAGGATGTCGGGTAACTGGAACTGGAGTTACAGGTGGTTATGAATCACCATGTCGGTGTTGGGAACCGAACCTGGGCCCTCTGCAAGAGCAGTCAATGTTCTTAACCACTGAACCATCTCTCTAGCCCCTGAAATGTAGTAGACTTAAGTTTTTTTTATTAAACCCAATGATTTCAAAAAGAAAATCAAACATTCATGAAAAAAATAGAAAAAGAAATAAAATCAAGAGAGAAATCAGGAATATATATGTTCCTGAAGACAAAAGCAAACAACTACTTAGAAAATAATAAAGCTAAAACACTGATTAACAAGGCCAATATTTTCTTTGCACATTTAAGTATATAAATACCTAATAATTCTGATTAATAAGCGAGAAAGCTCAAATGAAAGTAGGAGTAAGAACCATTGTGTCCAACTTTATTCCCAGAATATTATACCCTAGGAATTACCAAACCAGCAACGGATAGACACACTGTAATGGGAAGAATTGTTCAGTGTCCTATATAGATAACAGGAGAAGCAATGTGGTGATTACAAATCACGAATATATTTGCAGAGGACCCAAGTTCACTTCCCAGGATATGCTTTGGGGAGTTCACATCAATTTGTAATTCCAGCTCCAGGGGGACTTCATACCTCAGGCATCCGTGGCCACCTGTATTTACATGCACATATTCCCCACCACACACACGTACCCATAATTAAAAGTAAAGTAAATCTTTAAGAATAATGAAGGCATGTATATGCAGGAGTGTATGTAAGATGTATAAATGAAGGCATGTACATGCAGGACTGAATGTAAGATGTATAAGTAAAGGCCTAATGCTTTGATAATGCTTAAGTATTTTCTAGCATGTTCTTTTCCTAGTGTCTCAGGGTTTCTATTGCCGTGAAGAGACACATGACCATGACAACTCTTATAAAGAAAAATATTTAATTGAGGATGGCTTACAGTGTCAGAGGTTTATTCCATTATCTTCATGGTAGGAAGCATGATAGCATGAAGGCAGACAAGGTGCTAGAGAAGTAGCTGGGAGGAATACATCCAGATCTGCAGGCAGCAGGAAGAGAAAGTGATACTGTGCCTGGCTTGAGCATCCAAAACCTTAAAACCCACCCCCAAGTGACATACTTCCTCCAATAAGGCCAGGCCTGTTCCAACAAGGCCACACTGTAGGTAAAAAGGGCCAGTGAAAGAGCACACTGGCCCTGAGATCAGAGCCAAGGAAATACACTCTGCCCCCAACCAACTCAGAATTTGAAATCCTACTAATTCCTGAGCATGAAAACCAACCAATTCCTGATCATGAAATCCAACCAATCTCTGAGCTTATCCCAAGCTCAGAACTTGAGAGCCTACCAATTCCCATCCTGAAAATCTTTACCCTGGAAAGCTTCAACCCTAAGAAACCCTATATAAATCCTGTTGTCCGGGGCTGCCTTTTCCCACCCTGACAGAGGCTACCACTCTCCTGGATTCCTTCCTCCAAGTAAATCTCTTAGAGTGAAGTTTGTTGTACCAACTTTCTTTCCCTGGAGTGAAGCAGAGGAGAAGTGGAATGGCTCTCACCCAGAAAGGAACAGAACTGCTACACTTCCTCCGGGAAACCTTCTCTTAGTGGAGCAGAGCTGTAACAACCTTCACCAGAGCAGAGCGGAGCTGTTAACACTTCTCCAAAGGGGAGCCAGGCAGAGCTGTAACAATCTCACTGGGGAAACCCTTCTCTGATGGATCAGAGTTGTTATAATTGCATTGGGGAAACCATTCCTGGAGCAAGGTTTGTAACACTTTGTTGGGGAAACCATCCCCTCCCCTCCGCTAGAACAGAGCTGTAACACCTGTTGGGATACCTTTCCCTTCAGAGCTATAGGTATTCCTTGGCTCCTGACTGCCAGGGTATCCTTGTATCAGAGCTGTAACACTTACACTCACCTCCTAATAATTCCACATTCTATGGACCTATGGGGTGGATTTTCACTCTAATCACCACACCTGGTGTCCTGTATAAGCCCCTTCCTTGGAACCTACTTTCTCAGTCCTTCCTGCCTAAGAGCTCTTCTACTGTCAAATGTAGATGATTTTGTCCCTGGAACTCTTCTTGGTAATCAGCTGGATGGTATTGACTTATGCAAGATTTGTCTAGTGGGCTGTGAATGCATGTGAAATACAAGGTACAATTCCTGCTTTCAAGAAATGGACACCTAACTGTAATTAATGGTTCAATACAAATTACAGATCAAGATTAAGAACACCGAGGCAAACATTCAGGGTGTGGTGAGACTCTGAGGGAGTGGAAGATGTGAAATGCTTTTTAACTGGGAAGTGATGTGGTCCTGTTGTTAGGGTTATGTAGTTTTTATTACTCAGTTTCAACAGGAAGTTCTTGGGAGCATGTAGGTATGAACTGCCTGCCACCCTTCTCTCTTTTCTCTTGACCCTCACACAAGCTTCCCGTGTGTTGGAAGTGGTGTATGTAGGACGGAGAGGCATCCCAGGATGGAAACGAGGAATGAGTGGGGCTCAGGAAGGACTTACTGGGTTGGCCTCAAGGCAATGCCATGTGCAAAATCAGCCCATTGAGAGTCAGAGCCATTAAACTCTTGTAACAATAAAACCTGTACAAATGAAGACTCCTGCTGTGTATTATTCGAATGCTAGCATATTCCAGCCTGGACAACTTTTAAATATGCTCTGAATATCAAAATATTAAGTGCTTATACCATGTGAACTTAACTTATGGGCACATTGGTTGTGTTTATTTCTATAAACTTTCACCTAACACAGATTTGTTTCGGGGAATCCAGATACCACCACTGCTGTGACATCCTAAAGCTGCTCCCTCAGTTTCCTCAAATAGTCCTACTCTGGATCATCTTAGAGGCAATTCTACCATAAGCAGCATCTCAGGGAGTCTTCGGTAACTGACAGCTTTATAAAAAAATCAAATGACTTTCCAACAAACTTGTGCATTAAAATAAGCCAGCAAACACCCATTTCATAGTCACCACAGACTGTCAATTCCTAAACTCCACAATCAATCCAGAATGGTAAATAAGACCAAGTTATTTCACACACAGCATCTTGAGTTAGGAACTTCACAAACTGTAGGGAAACAGCCTGAGAATCCTGTTCATTTCTCTGATGTTGTTGTTTTTCAGGGACATATGGTCTAGACTAGACATTCATTTTCTCTGTACACTCAGCAAAAAAATTCTTCACACAGTGGAAGGTGCTGTTTATTATATTTAATTAAACATCACCTTGGCTAAAGGTCTACAAACATTGTTTATAGTGCATGTGATTGAAGATTACAAGATATTTTATAAACACATAAACATGAAAATTTAAGAATTGTCCCCAATTTTCTATGTATTCCAGATAACAATGTTTATATTAGTGACCCATTGAAGCTTTAAATCCATCTGAATATCTGCTTTTGTGCTTGAACCCCAAACATTAGGCAACTGGGACGGACCACGGCTTACCACATTTAGAATCCACTTTTGGAACCTAGGGGAAAAAAAGAATACAGTTTAAAAACACCTAAAACAACTCATATAACTAATTGGTAGCTAAATTTCTTGTTTTTCAAAAAGACACTTATCCTATTTATTCATCACAAATTATTTGCATAACTTGTATAAGCATATATTTTCTCTTTCTCAACAGGAATCAAGTAATTTTGGATAAAAAAATCTAGTCCTCTGACATAATAAAGCAGAGACAAAAATGTACACAATACTGATTTTGCTGGAAAGAACTGATGGAGTGTTTTAAAATACAACCACAAACGCAGGGCGTCTGCATGGTCAAATAGTGGAAAGATGGCCTTCCTCCATAGTTAATCTTCTATCAGGTGGGTGACCTCAGTGATATGAGGTCTCATTAATCTAGGTTAGCTATAACCAGCCTGGAAGCAAGAGTTCATCATTGTGAGTGGAAGTAAATATTCATCCAAATTGAAGCAGAAAAGAAACGGAGAGACAGAGAATACGCCCTCGTCATGTCACGCTCACTGCCTTTGTGTGTGGTGATCCCTGAAAATGTCGACAGCCTCTTCAAAAAAGGCCTGCAAAATGAAGGACTCGATCATAGAATTCAGTGACTTGATTTTTTCCCCCAGAAAGATTTTTTTCAAGTTTAAAACTGGACTTTCTGTTTAGATGATTATTGCTAAAGGAAGCAGAAATAAAACTAAATTAGTACGAAGTAATCTTAACGTAAAAAAGTCACCTCTTCCGGTTTCAAAAAGATGTAATCTCTAAAAATAAGCACCTAGTGTCAAGTGGAAACAGAAAAGGGATTAGATATGTAAAGGAGAGAAAAGGATGACCACAAAGAGACATAGAACTTTTACCTAGTGAATGAAAAATGAAACAAAAAGTAAAGGAAACACATGACTGCTCCTCGGTGTGGTGGAGGAGAAGGTTTATTGCAGCTATGTAGGAGAGCACAGCCAGAGGCAGGGACATCTGGGAGAGTCCAGAGAGATGGACAAGCTGAGCTGGACCATGTGAAAGAGGGGGGTGGGGAAGGGAGAAAGGAGAGGGAACCAGGTGCAGCAGCCAGGTGGCCAAAGGTACAAAGGACAGGTAACCGAAAGGTCTGGGTTACATAGGAAGAGCCTCTGGTGGAAGGGCAGCCCAGCTCCTGGGCTGGAGAGTAGCAGGTAGGGACTGAGGGATGCTGGGAGAACCTGGCAGCCAGGTCCACTTTGATATGTTAAATAGCTACCTCAGCTGTTTGTCCCAGGTTTGAAACTTAACACCTAGATCATCACGTGTTTTCATAAACAGTCTTTTATCCAAGTAAAAGCAATTTTACAGATGGGTACACAGATCCCACTAAATTTAGTCAAGTCAAAATTGACCAGAGAAGTGAATTCATATTTTTTTTCACAAAATAGAATTTCCTTAAATACTTGTTGGTTCACAATGAATCAAAAGCATAAGCTGACACTGTTGCCGGATAATTAATCTAAAAGCCATTTTATTTCTTTAAATGTTTTCTTTATATGCCATGCAAAGGAGTAAGCCAGAGAACTGACCTCCACAGAGGCTGGGGTTGGTAGTCAACAGAGAGGTAGGTGAGAAGATGGAGGAGGCTGGATGGATAGAGATGACAGAGAGACAGGTAAAAGATGGGAATGAAAGATGATAGTGACCCCCCCCCTCTCTCTCTCTCTCTCTCTCTCTCTCTCTCTCACACCCACACACAC